TGCAAAGCTCTGCGTCGTGTGTAACAGACACAGGGTGGGGGAGGCATTCTACAGTGAGTGGTAGGTCAGTCCAATTCTTGAGATGACAGGGTTCTGGCAACAGGAAAAAGGTAACTCTCACGCAGAGTGCTAACGTACCCCCAAATGAATGACTTGAACATGGAAAGTTCTGTCATTTTAGGAGCCAGGTGGCCGCGCTGCAGTAACACATGGATCCACCTGGGAAAGGATTCCGGGTACGCCCAGGATCCAGGCTGGCGGCAGTGACGCGATCCTGCTGGGGGTCCCTGTCTGTGTGTGTGTGTGTGTGTGTGTGTGTGTGTCTGTCTCTCTCATGGAAGAAACACGTAAATAAACTTAAAACAAAAGCAATTCTATCATTTTAAGAGAAATGCATTCTAGAATGTAGATTAATGGCACGTTCCCCCCAATTCTCCTTCTCTGTACAAGTTCCTTTCTTAAGTTCACTAAACGACTTGCTATAGCTCTTTCCACACCCAAAGACTTGACATCACTGTCATCGGTTTTTCTGAACAGCCAAACAGGAAGCAGAACTTCCGATGGAAACATTAGGGAGTTTAAACTTACCAAAAAAAAAAAAAAATCACTATGACAAAAATTTCAACTACTTGGTATCAGCTTAGTAGTTGGGGGCACGGAGATACCCCTGGCTGGCTGACAGAATGGAGGTTTGTGTTTGGGGTGACACGTGGTACAGCTGTTGCTGACAGTCTGTGAGCAGAGTTGCTGGCCCTGTAGCTAGTCTAGGTAGTGAGTATAGCCAAAAAGACAGAATACAGCATGTGCTGGTTGGTTTTTGCTGCGTGCAACAGGAAATGACAAGACAGGCCAGGACAGAAATCTGCTGGTCTGAGAGCTGACACGTTGAAGTAGACGGGAATCCCAAGGCTCCGGCATGGATCAGTAGATGGTGTAATGGTTGCATTGCTAGACTCCCACATGGTCGACCACAGTTCGAGTCCTGGACCTGGAGGCTTAAAACACACTGGGTGCATGTGTGTGCGCCCAAAATCCTGAGAGGGGAGTGGAGAAGAGACTGGGAGAGGGGTGATTTCTCACTTTCTGTCTCTCCAGTGGGTGCACAAGACTAACAGCAAAATCTCTCTCTCAAAAAACAAACAAACAAAAAAACCAAAAGAAAACCCATCTGCTTCCACAAATCAACAGGGCACTGGTGAGCCAGGTCTCTAAACAGCCGCACGAGGGCCAACCTGCCACCCCACTCCCATCCAGTACTACATGATCAAGAAAAGTTCTGATGTGTCGGGGCCACAGAATATGCTGGGTCTATTTCTTACAGAAGCAGCACTTCCCTAGTACAATCATTGCTAAATGGCCAATAAAAACGCCTCAAGGCAGCTGCTTACTGTGTAGCTGCTCACCCTGTGGAGGCTGTGGAGGGCTGGCGCTCAGTGACTCAGGGCCAGGGCCTGCTGGGGCTCTGCATCCTGGTTTCCCACTCGCCTTGCAAGAACGTGAGCTGCATTTCCTCATCAGTGCAGTGGAATGCTCACCTGAGAGCGTCTGCCCCTAAGCTGGGCTTGGCAAACTGTGGCCCATGGGCCTTTGCCAGCCTGTAGCCTATTCCTGCACTGCCCTTGAGCTAAGAATATTTTTCACTTTTTTTTTTTTTGAGAGGTTTTTGTTATAGGGCATGTGCACTCACCAGAAAAGACAGAGACAGAGACAGTGAGTGAGAAATCACCCCCCAAGGGGGGATGGCCACGCCGCAATCCCTTCTCCTCCATTCTCCTCTCGGGATCTTGGGCACATACACACACACACACACACACACACACACACACACACGCCCGGTGAGTTTAAGCCACTGGGTCTGGGACTTGAACCATGGTTGACTACATGGGAGTTCAGTGACATAGCCATTATACCAACTGTTGGTCCCATACTTTTTTTCTGTTGAGAGATTTTTGCTATAGAGTGCGTGCACTCGCTGGAGACACGGAGAGAGCAACAGAAAGTGAGAAATCACCCCCTGGGCGGATGGCCATACTGCAATCCCTCGTTCTCTCGGTATATCTGGCATGCACACCCACGTGCCCGGCATGTTTCAAGCAGCCGAGTCAGGGACTCAAACCACAGTCGACCATGTGGAAGTCCAGCACCTTAACCGCAACACCATCTGCCGGTCCCTGTTTTCTGTACTTTTAAAAGCAAAGAACACGATATGCCTGCATGCAACCCGCAAACTTTACAACACTTGATTTTCGGTCCTACCTTACAGGATTGCTGGGACATTTAAGCGTCTAGGCGGTGCCCGGCTCAAAGTTTAGTGCACAGAGTGAAAACCACATAAAGGAGCTACCAACATCACCCAAAATAAAGCATCACATAGTTTTCCTCCTTCCTGCCAAAAACAACAGACAAAAAAACCTAAGGAGCTACATCTTGACTCTATGGCCACAAATACTTACTTTTTTAAAAGGCAGGATCTTTATCAAAATCCCGTCTCAGCCTCCCACAGGGCAGGGATTCCAGGCATATGCCATCATGCCTGTTTTCAGGATGGACTATATAACCCCAGCACCCTCTGTGGTCTCAGCCTGCCAAGCAGCAGGGTGCATCCAGTGTGTGCTACCGTGACTGTTTGGCCACAGTTGTGGGGTCTTCACGGAGTTCAAGGAAAACCTGTGTTACAAAACTATGCATGGATCTCAAAAATTTGTTTACACCAAATAAACTCATAAACTTTTCACTCGTTTTCCTGAGTTTTTTTTTTTTTTTTTTTT